TGTATTGCCACACTTCCTTTGAATATTGCAGTAACTGCATCTGTTCATTTTGTAACCTGTAATTGTAGATATAATCATTTAAATATGCCTACTGACAATGACTAAAAATAGTACTATTCTATGTATATTAGCTTCCGCGGTGATGCGGCCGTCATACCAGCTGTTTCAATCAGAGGGGGTTTATTGTGATTTAATAGCCTCTGATTGACCAATCAGAATCGAATAAATTCCAAATTCATGGTAGAATCTGTAATATTAACAAGCAAATATGGACTGTCGGGCAGTTAATGGAAGACCCTGGGCTTCTGCAAATGATAATGCCCCGAAAAATAGTGTTACTCTTATAATACTCATAAGCAAATATGGACTGTCACCCAAATGTTCAATCTAAGTAGGGGGTGCTAATAAAGACCACTTACAAATTGGTCTAGCGGTTGGTCAGAGGGAGTTTATTGCGCAGGTCACTTTATACAGTGAATTCAGTACTCATTATAAAGTTCTTAACATTTTAAACACTGAGGCGACTATGCTTGTCGTAAGAGGCGACTGACGGGATCGGGTGATCAGGCTCGCTGTTGATGCATGTCATTGTGTCCCAATTGCGTGGATCGATGCTCATGATGTCAATATATATCTGTGTATTGTGTTTGTCTATATCTGTGTGTGTGTGTGTGTGTGTGTGTGTCTATGTCTGTGTGTGTGCTTGTGTGTGTGTGTGTGTGTCTACCGTATATCTGCGTATGTGTTTGTCTATATCTGTGAATGTGTGTGTGTTTGTCTATATCTGTGTGCATGTGTGTGGATCTGTTTGTACTTGTTGAACTGATATACCATGTACATGTATATCCCATTCAGACACAGTATACTGCCTCTGAGCTGACTGGTTTTGGTTTTAGCCCATATTCCCATGCGCCAGGCAAGGAAACAACAAATACCATATTCTCAGAAGGGGTATAAATAAGGAAATCATATCAATACGAAAATAGAAATCTTATCAAAACAAAAACACAAATTTTATCAATACTAAAATTCCCAATAGATATCTGTGCCCTACTCACACATGAGTCCCACAAAGTGACAGGTCAGAAAAAATTGAGATGACAGGAGGCAACCTCTTAAACACTTAAGCATCAACAAAAACATCTGTGGGAGGGACCAGGTAATAGCTGTGAAAAGGCTTGTATAAGCTATTATTTTGTCTTTATTGAAATAAGATGATTAAATATTTACTAGAAGTGAATTTGTATTTTCTTTTCATTTTATTGCATCTGTTAAAATTATCTACATTGTGTAGAGTGAATTAGTGAGTATGGTTTTACGCCGCTTTTAGCAATATTCCAGCAATATCACGGCGGGGGACACAAGAAATGGGCTTCACACATTGTACCCATGTCGGGAATCGAACCCGGGTCTTCGGCGTGACGAGCCAACGCTTTAACCACTAGGCTACCCGACCGCCCCACATTGTGTAGAAATATATCAGTGTCAGCAATTGATATGAAACTTGTAATTAAGTTTGTAAATTGCTAGTTGTATCAATAATTTGTACAATCTTAATAAAAATTATTCCATTATTTTTAGAATAGTATCCCACAATAATGTCCTTACCAAAAAATCACAAAATATCGCGATAATTAATTAATGAAGACAGCTACATGTGTGCTAATACTCATAAAATTAAAACAAGCCATTCTGATGATAAGAAATATTACTTACAGTAAAAAGAAAATTGCAAAGTGTGCTTCTCCATGTCCTGCTATATATTCCCTTGTCAACAGCAGGAAAATCTTGGGCGACATAGTTGGGTACTAAGACTTATTTTGCTCAAATTTAAAATGAACGTGCTCAATCCCACGTTGGGTGCCATTGTAGTGGCTATAAAATATCCGAGTCCTGTGACGGGATTCGAACCACGGACCTTCTGATCCAAGGTCAGACACCTTGTCCACATGACTACAAGGGTTCCATGTCTGAAAGGATGTCATCTGTGGCTGAAGGGATACAGCCCATTATAGTGAAACCATAACCTTAAGTTCTGAATGTATCTTCATCAGATGAGGTAAAACCAACACATTAAATACACAAAAACAATATTAAGGTATCTGTATCGAAATATAATATATTTTATTAGTTTTAAGATGAACAAAAGAATATGGTAAAATAAAGCCATCCCGTTTATACATAGGGAATTGTGGAAATCTACATGTACTGTATTTGACGTAATAAGCGCCCACGGCGATATTTGCTAATATATTGGCTAGTGAAAAATCCAAATTAGCACCCCTTCCGACTGATCAATGTACACAAGACTTATTTATTCGCGTATTATACGCACTCGTGTGTATTATGCACCCTTAATTATGGGCACGAAATTTTTATCTTTCAACTCTGTTTTTTTACCAAAATAATATTCTAATAAGAGCCCCCTATTTCTAATTTTGAGAGCGCCCTGGGCACTTATTACGTCAATTACAGTATATAACAAAGAGGCACTAATATTGTGCAACGTTGCAATACATGTACAGCATATATAACATAAAATAGACAAACTTTGAATAGATGTAACATTTATCTATCTCTGTCAGTCAGTTCTTGTGATGTTCAGGGGCGGTCGGGTAGCCTAGTGGTTAAAGCGTTCGCTCATCACGCCGAAGACCCGGGTTCGATTCCTGACATGGATACAATGTGTGAAGCCCATTTCTGGTGTCCCCCGCCGTGATATTGCTGGAATATTGCTAAAGGCGGCGTAAAACCATACTCACTCACTCACTCTTGTGATGTTCAGCTAATAAAAGTATCTGTTATCATATCATTTCAAAATACAAAAAATGATTTCAAAATCTGGTTGGTATTACACATCTGATTATCTTAGTGTTGCCATTTGACATGGCTACATTGCGAGGTTGGACAGATGAATATTCTATTTCACTATTTTCCTTGGTGAATATGGAGAAATTGAAATAAAAAAACTTGATGTTAAAAATGAATATTTCGAAAAAAACAAATCTGTTGATAATAAATCTACATCTAAAGTTCTGAATGACATTTTCAAACAAATCTTGCCCCTTATCAACCAAGAAGAAATGGCGTTGCAAAATCTCTAATCCATAGGTTTGATTGTCGTGATGCTCTTTCTATCGAATAGTATCGATTCATCTGTCCAAGATATTGCAAGTCTTATCCACCAAAAAACATTATCAACTGAACCTATCTCGTCAAGATTCAAGTACTTTCCCTGTATCAACTTGAAACAAAACCCATAAAAACCCACAGATAACCCACATGACCAACAATCTCCCCACTATCAGTTTACGAAATCATTTAGTGGAATACACTAAAAGAAATGTATGCCTGAAGATTGTGATCATGACAGCAGATTATGAAAAGAAATCTATAGTCCTCTAAAAAAGCACCTGGTCTTTCAACTTTTTATACCAGGGCAATGCCCGCTTATAAATCAGTGCCTGGAGTTTGATGGAAACCACGTGTATATTTCTTTCTGCTCATCTGCAAGAACTCCTGGCTTTTTTTTTACTTGGTTCTAAATGGATATAATAGGAATTTTATCTATATAATATATAATTCATATATTAATCCATGCATATAAAACTGAAATGAATTAATAAAAAATATCAGCTGAGCGAAAAATATATTTTTCAACAATACATTTCAGGATAAATATGGGTCAAAGGGAGATAGCTCAGGGCATGTCAATCTAGTTTGGGCGTTAAAGACTTTCTAGGCACAGGCATTCTCATGTGACTCAAGTTACCATATAACCTGTACTAATGATTTATTTATCAATGATTTATTTAATTAGAGCTTTTAGATTTCTAATAGCTCCTTGCGCTGTTCCCCATAAAATAAGGAATACCGTATTCGACGTAATAAGCGTCCCACTCTAATAAGCGCCCATGGCGATATTTGCTAATATATTGGCAAGTGAACAATCCCAATTAGCACCCCTTCCGATTAATCAGTGTACACAAGACTTGAATATATTCTTTAATAATATGCACCAATGTGTTATATGCACCCTTAATTATGGGCAAGTAAATTCTGGAAAATATATCTGTCGATTATAAACATTTAAGGCTGTCAGCATAAACCACGAAATTTTAAATCTTTCAACTCCGTTTTTTTCACCAAAATAATATTCTAATAAGAGCCCCCCATTTCTAATTTTGAGAGAGCCATGGGCGTTTATTATGTAGAATACGGTAAGTAGAAATGGCAAATTTTCTGTTTAGCGTCTCAAGGTCTTTTTTGTACTGATGCTCTCAATTGTGAAATCGTGTTCTTAGTCTTTACTACTGAAAAATAACCCACAAATGATCATGATCCTTCGCAAAAGCCTTTTATGGCCATTTGTTTTTTGTTTTTTCTTGCAATTTCAGATACTAACTTGAAATTTCAAGATCTTATTTTGAAATTTCAAGATGCTAACTTGAAATCTTAAGATGTATGTTGAAATTTCAAGATACATTAAGTTGAATAGTCAAGATAATGATCTTGAAATTTCAAGATAGTAAGTTGAAATTTCAAGATACTAAGTTGAAATTTCAAGATATTACCGGTTAGTATCTTGAAATTTCAAGTCAGTATCTTGAGATTACAAGAAAAAAATTTAAAAAACAAAATGATCTTAAAAGGCTTCTGTATGATCCCTAACTTTTTATGTTTAATATATAATGTAATCCTAAATTTGAGTCAGTACTCTATATTTACTACCCGGGTACCCATCCTCCTATTACCTGACCCTACCCGGGTACCTGCTGTAGGTCTCAAGAGATAGGTACAAATGTCTGATTGGGAATAGTTTGATTGTAGCCCCGGCAAAATGTATTAAGATACACATGTAAAACGATCTGGTCATGCATTCATGGAAGTTGACTGAAGTTTTATCCCTATCAGAAGGAATGCGTACATTAGTACTTATAGTGTAACCGATGAAGTTCTAGATAACGTTTGCCATTAAACAACATATCATGTAACTACTCATGGATCCAGGTAGTCCTGTGGGTATCCAGGTCCTACTCGGTACCCATCTGACCCAAGTACCCGAGTTACGCGTCCCAGCCGTACAGTACACAACACGAAGATTCCAGTACATGTACTCGCCACTTGTTTCAATCATCAAAGAATAGTGTCATTTGACAGGATGGCTTATTTTAGCAGCATTTTATTCCACCCTGACTTGAAGTGACTGTGGCGAACTGGTCCAGGGTACTGATAACAACACAACTGAGTCGGAATACAGTGGACAGTTGAGGATGACATAATGTTTAATAACCAGCAAACATTGGGAGGATAACATAGAAAAGAAAAAAGAGAAAAGGGAAGAGAAAAGAAGGGAAGGGGAAAGAAGGGAAGAGAAAAGAAGGGAAGAGAAAATAGGAGAAAAGAAGGGAAAAGAAAAGAGAAGAAAAGGGAAGAGAAAAGAAGGGAAGAGAAAATAGGAGAAAAGGGAAGAGAAAAGAGGAGAAAAGAAGGGAAGAGAAAAGAAAGGAAGGGAAAAGAAGGGAAGAGAAAAGAAAGGAAGGGAAAAGAAGGGAAGGGAAAAGAAAGGAAGGGAAAAGAAGGAAAGGGAAAAGAAGGGAAGAGAAAAGAGGAGAAAAGAAGGGAAGAAAAAGAGAAGAAAAGGGAAGAGAAAAGAGGAGAAAAGAAGGGAAGAGAAAAGAAAGGAAGAGAAAAGAAGGGAAGAAAAAGAGAAGAAAAGGGAAGAGAAAAGAGGAGAAAAGAAGGGAAGAGAAAAGAAAGGAAGGGAAAAGAAGGAAAGGGAAAAGAAGGGAAGAGAAAAGACGAGAAAAGAAGGAAAAAGAAAAGATGAGAAAAAAAGATGAGAAGAAAAGTAAATACAAACTGTTTTGAGCTTCGGCTACAGACATAAGCAGTAATTCTGTTTACAGGTGCACTGATCTACAGCAATTCACCGGGACCAGTTATTGCCTTTGCTAGCTCGCGACCTGTGCTGCGACAACCATAAGCAGATTTGTCGCTCTTATTGATAGTAAAAGGGCATATCTTCACATTGATCAACAAAATGAAATACAGTTTTGTCTTGGAAATACACACATGTAATAATGAAATGGAGGTATCTTTGGGGGTAGCATCGGTAAATGTGGCAAAGTTTTCATGAGTACCGGTAATTTGCTTGTAATTGGGCAGTTTTCGTTTACACTATTATGTCTTGTAGCACCTGAGCATTGCTCATTTTATCATATGTAGATGTTATAGTCAATGTGTAAAATGACGAAAATTTTCACTTTGGCAATTTATTCAATGCCTAAATATGAAGTTATCTTAAAATTGACTTAAGAATCTTTCCATTTTTTACATGTATTATGATAACAAATTCCAAACATATTGATGCTGGATTTCATCACCCAGTGACTGAAAATAATAGGATTAAACGAAAACATAAGTCAAAGTACATTTCTATATTTTTACGAAACTAATCCTGGGATAATTTGTCTATTGTGATGTTTTAAGCCTTTTTGAACGTCTTAATAACTTTTAGTCAATCTGTTAAATAATTGGACAGATTTTTCAGTCAATTCATAAACTGACTGAAATATTTAGGCATTTCATGAATTGCCTGTGTGAATCACATTTTACACACCGGCTGCATCACATACACACCCACAAACCAAAGGCTCGTGAAAACAATGACTTAGTGTTGTCCATCTCGTATCGAAGAACTGCCCAGTGAAAACGTAGAGGAACAAGGATGATTCTGTTTAATGCTTCTGCAAATGACTGGAAACAAAATGCAAAGATCGTAATTAAAACCGACCAAAGTTATATGTATAATATCAGGGAGTTACCTTGTTCAAGGAATGTATCCATGAATATCCTTATAGACGCTCAGTTGCGTTAGCAATCAAATCGACTCGTGCTAGTGAGCCCTAGCAGGCAGTGTTAGACAGACTTCATTTCACGCTATTTACAATGCAATAGCTCTTTGGTTTGTTTCAGATTTGCTAAGAGTGCATGCAAACACTCACCTTGCATCTTCTTACAGTTTCTAGAGACTGTTCTTTATCAATTTTATATTTTTAGCTGCAAAGATCATGCTATCACTAAATCATTTAATTTAATCAAGTTATTTCATTTTTCGTTACCATAGTTACAGTACTGAATGTAGCCAGGATTATGCAGTATGTTGCTATAGTTAAAGTGTAACCATGGTTACAAGCAGTAACCACTGGTTACAGCAGTACATTGCCATGGTTACTGCAGTGTTGACCAGGGAGCTGGCAGCATGAGACGGGTGTGCACTTCACCTGACACGCCTGAAACAGACAAATAACTTTGATTTTTACTTAATCCCTCAAATAAGTCAAAACTTATTCAAATATCTAAAAACTGCTGTACCCACTAAAACTACCGATCACAATGTCAGCCAACTTGTAATTACAACAAGCATGGGGAACTACACAACATTTGCTAAGGGCCACCACACCTAGCTTCCATTAAAGATGACTAGTTTGATCCTTAGCAAATATTGTGTAGTATATTAGTCACTGGCCACATAGACATTAGCTGGAAAAGTACCAACCAATACTAATAATTATACTAATATTACATGACGAATATTCCATCAGTTTCAGGTCTTTCATGCTGCAACAAGGAGACATTTCAGTTTCCACTGGCAGTCAGACAAGCAGCATGTTCAATGTATACTGACTGGGCAAAGGGAAACAACTCTCATCTCTGCTCATGCAAACCCAATTGTTAGTTATAGAATTGATTCTTAACCTTTTTCAATGCAATTATTTTCAAGTAAAGCAGGGCCTTTTATCACAGTCTACTACCAGAGTGTGTAAAAACGGACCTCGGTCTCTATTTTGTACTATTAATAATTAATTTAGTTATGTTATTACTTGGACGATTTAGTATATGTAAACTGAGAACCAAAAGAAACTTTACCACTTTAAAAATGAAAAATAAAATAAAAACCCAGGTTCAAATTAAATCAATGGAAAACACATTGTCCAAACACAACAGTGCTCCATGCAGAAAGTCATGGACCATGGCACATAGTTTTTATACAAAATGAGAAAAGGTGAAAAACTTGCTGCTTGGGCAGTTGAAACTACATGTGCAATAAGGGTATATAGTCTAATAGATAAATGATACGGATTAGGGCTGGGACGGGTCCAAATTTACTACCCACCACCCTATCACCCGACCCTACCCGGGTACCCGCTGTAGATATTTAGAGATAGGTACAAGCTGTCTGATTTGGAAGAGTTTGACCGTAGCCCTCGCAAAATGTATTTAGATACACGTGTAAAACAATCGGCTCATGCAAATGCTGTAGTTTAATGTATGAAGTTTTATCTTTATTCAAACATATAAAAGTCAGAAGGAATGGGTGCATTGTCAGAAAGAAATGGGAATATTAGTGACTTATAGTGTAACCATAGAGTTTTAGATAATTTTTGTCATTAAACAATATATATCATGTGACTAACCACGGGTCCGGGTAGTACTGTGGGTACCCAGGTCCTACTCATGACCCACCCGACCCGAGAACCCGAGTTACCCGTCCCAGCCCTAATAGGGATGGCATGTCAGACACTCACACTGATAAAGAGAGACCACAGAAATGCCACAACTGACACCTGAACATTGCGAGCGGGCCCTGGGTGTGATACAGGTAGGAGTCACCTAGCAACAATTGCCTTATGGCAGATGGTTAGATGACAGGAAGTTGCCAAACGACTCAGGGCTCAAGGAATTAGGGCTTCAGACCTTACAGAGGACAGCTATTGACAGCACAACAGCGCGTCAGAGACTGAGATGGGCCCGGACTGTGCATTATTTTGGCAGAGGGTCATCTTCACCGGTTCTGTCTCTTCAGAGCTGATGGAAGACCATGTATTTATCTCCGAAGGGGAGAAATAACGGTGACATGATGCGTTAAGGAGGTCATGCTGTATGTCGGAGGGGGTGTTATTGTATGGAGAGGATATTGTGGGCAGGAGAGAACACCATTGGTCATCGTTAATTAAAATTTGACAGGTCAGCGTTACATGGATGACATTCCTCATCCAATTGATCTACCATTTCTACAACAGCTTCCATGTGGTGTCCTTTATTACCATGACAACGCCAGACCCCATACAGCCCGAATAGGACAGAACTTCCTTGCAGCCAACAACGTCAACGTGTTGCCGTGGCCTGCATGCTCACTAGACATGTCCCCCATAACACACCTCTGGGATGTCATGGATCGTCATGTTCGACAGAGACTACATCCTCCGACCAACTGACAAGAACTGATCCAGGCCCTCAAAAAAAATGGAGACTTTTTCTGTGCACCAGAGATTTTTGCATGTTTTGTAATAGAGGGTGGTCATATATGCTATTAATGTGGCAGGTCATTAAATTTGAGTGATTTTATTGCCCTTTGTTCATTACGCTGAAAGCTTGTTTTTGCTATCCCACCTCAATTCAGTCAACTGCCATGCCAATATTGGAAGATGTATGACTGTCATTTTAAATGCTGATTTCGTTGAGATTTTGATCTTTTCATTACTTTTTACTTTTGCATCAATCTTTATGGTTTTTAAACAAGTGATTTAAAAGTATGGTAGAGGTGTTTTTGGCCATCAGTTTGTTACAAAATAAATGAGCTACATTACTAAATGTATAGGTAATATTTACAAAATAAAATAGTAATATTACTTAAAGGATAAATGATTATATTACTTATTAATTTAGTAATGTTACTTACTCACTTAATAATATGACAAATTAGGCTAAAAAATATAGTCTTGGTTCTCATTTTCATTTTTATTTCATTGTAAAAAATCAAAAAATCTTTACCTTGCCAGGGAAATGCTACAATATTTAAGAACAACATGATTTCGCGAAATTATTGTGACAAAACAATCAAGTTTGAACAATAAAAAAACCCCCAAAAAACACGCCTGCTAGCACAATATTTTCAAAAGCTGTTGCCTGAAAAACAATTCTTGTAATTTTTTAAGTCTTAAGTTTGTAAAATTCCTAAATAGCTACTAATCAGCTTCAGTACCCAGCCATTCTGTACAGTTTTACCTTCAAGACTCAAGTGACTAGCTTGGACTGCATCATCAATGGAAGTGTGATGTAGGAGTCGAAATTCTGAAATAATACAACATTCTAAATTGCAAATACTCCAACATCTGAATCCAATTGTATGATATTGTGTGTTCTTCTGCTTCCGTGGGAATAGAATACATGTATCAAGAAAACAAATATTTACTTTGATCCCAAGAAATGAATTTTTCCATGCCTGACTGTTCTATCCTTGCTATGTATAAGACTGTGGGACAAATAGACCTATACAATCTACTTTCTGAGCATAGACCTAGTATTCTAGAAACAGTTATGTCTGCAGTTGTACACTTGCCTTTATTGACCTGTCCAAACATTGTTTGGAAGGCAGCTAACAGTGTGGTCCCTAGTGACAGAGATCCTACCCTACTGCAATCAGGGACTGTCTGTAGCTCAAACACACCTGCCAAAAAAGTATACAATGTCAAGGTCACATCAAGAAATTTCCAGGTGTGTTCCAAATTGAAATATTGTCATGCATTTTTAGTCTTTAAAATATGATTCAGAATGCAGCTATGGTGGAAAAATGGAATGGAGAAAGATAAGACTAGGTAAATGGGTGTGTAAGCCAATTAATGATTTCTATTAATCAAAAATTGATTTTATGAAAACATTAAAAATGTTTTTGAAATGACTTCATTCAAAATGACTAAGACTGCGAACTACCCTGAGCTCTGTTTCAAATCAGATTTGTGGTCAATTATGAAAGGGAGCAAAATTTATATGCATTATTGACATAATCAGTGTCCCTTCTTATACACAATGAAAGCATCTGATTTCTGATTTGATCTCCACCCAGAGTAGTTTTAATACTGATTGATAACTTTAAGAAATAATGTAGTGACTACACACGCATGCACACAGACACAGACACACGAAAACACACACACATGAACACACACACACACACACACACACACACACACACACACACACAAGCAATTCATATTGAATCTGCAATATGTATGTTACTTTTAGGTACTTACGGTTATGTGTGTATATGTAGTCATGATAACCTTCTGTCAGTTCCATGAATATGCATTGTAAATTGGTAATACATCCTAACTGCCATATCACCTTGCAAATACTGTCAGGAACATTAACCTGGTAGCAATAACAACATTTGGGAATATATGTGTCCCATCATTGCCAACACTGATGTAGTTACCGCCTGGTGTGACGTTGCCGAGGTGGAGGTGTGTCCCCTGCTTGAGGGTGAGCAGGGAGTTCTCCTGCCGCGCCCACATTGGGCTTGCAGCTGCTATATAATTCTTCTGCCAGGATTCATCTCCGCCTAGTTCCTTCCGGACTCGAGCTCTGTCACTCAGACTTTCTGTAAACAAATCACAAAACGTTAGATTTCTCAGAATATCTAGCCCTTGTGGAGATCTTGGTTAGAATAGGTCCTTACCAACCCATGCTTGTCGTAAGAGGTGACTAACAGGTTTAGTTGGTCAGGCTTGATGACTTGGCTGATGCATGTCATCATATCCTAATTGTGTAGACTAAGCCCATGATGTCAACCACTTGATTGTCTGGTCCAGACTAAATTATTTACATACAGTAGAACATGGATATAACGAACTACGAGGGACCAGAGAAATCAGTTCGTTATATACGTTGTTCGTTATATATGTCTTTGCTCGGAAACATCCTGTCATCTTGGCTTAAACAAAACACAATACACATACACGTTTATACACGTTTCCTCCCGCATCTACCGGTGATTCAGTTAAAAAGTACCAAAAAAATCAACTTCAATTTTTTTTAATGCAATGGTCGGAAGAAATTGTATCTGAAGTTATTATTTTATCAAAATAATATATTCCAATATCACCGATATTGATGTAAACATTATTGAATAAAATTTGTTTGTTGTACAGACTAGATTAGTCCAATTACATGGACAGGTAAGATTAATATAAGGCAAGTTTAACAAGGTTGAATCGTCACCGCTGATTGTGTTGATTGGCCGTGATTGTGTTGCTTGCTGATTGTGTATAGTCAATTGTCAGTGACACTTGACACTGAATGTGATTTCTGAGTTTGCTATACACGTCACTAATTAGTGGTAGATGGGTTTGTCGGAAATCAGGTATCAGTTCGCTGTATCTGTTAGTTCGCTGTAGAGAGTTCGTTATGTACATAAATTTTATATGATAATATATAGGAGATAAATTGGGGATTTTTTAACAGTCTGTTGTATCCATTTGTTCGCTCTATCCGTGTGCGTTATATCCGTGTTCTAATGTATAGCGTTAAACAACAAACAAACAAATGTTATAATTATTACCAGAGTTGTGTACCTTTGGCACACCAGAATCCTATGATCATGATTTCGAAATCCAGCTTCGCCCTGATTAGGTTTCTAGGTTTGTCACCTCCATACCCATGCTTATAGGTTTCATCAAAGTGGTAAATGTCTAAGACCGGTATCATTTCGGGCTTTCCTCCCACATCAAGCTAAAACGCTGTAATATATAACAGAAATCCTCTTCAAAGCAGCACCAAAGCAAATGTAGCGGCCATAAAATTTCCAAGTCCCGTGATGGGATTCGAACCACGGACCTTCTGATCACAGGTCGGACGCCTTGTCCACATGACCAAAGAGGTTAACCCCGTCAGCAAGCTGACAAGGTAAGGATGTCATCTGTGGGATGACTCCACGCCCTGCTACATACTCCCCCGTCAACAGAAGGCACGTCCCGGGCCGCATAGTAGGGTACTGAGGCTTATTTTGCTCAAATTTAATATGAACGTGCTCAGCCCCACGTTGGGCGCCAATGTAGCGGCCATAAAATTTCCGAGTCCCGTGATGGGATTCGAACCACGGACCTTCTGATCACAGGTCGGACGCCTTGTCCACATGACCAAAGAGGTTAACCCCGTCAGCAAGCTGACAAGGTAAGGATGTCATCTGTGGGATGACTCCACGCCCTGCTACACAAACACACTCATTATTCCTCGATACTTACCATACTCCCAGATGTGTACTGCATCATTGATGCCTCCAAGTTCACTAAGCCAGAAGCCCAGCAGCGGGGACTTGGCAGTGCGGAGGTGCATCCATTTGGTGGAGAGCTCAATGAAGGACTTGATGTCTTTAGGATAGATGTTGTAGATCCTCAGCTCATACACTGGAGACCTCCGGACTTGTGTGCTGGAGTTCCTGGAAGCCTGTAACCATGTCAACAATGATGCTACGAACACATTCAAAATCTATTGACTTGTGTACTGGAGTTCCTGGCAGCCTGTAACCATGACAACAATGATGATACAAACACATTCAAGATCTATTGACTTGTGTGCTGGAGTTCCTGGCAGCCTGTAACCATGACAACAATGATGATACAAACACATTCAAGATCTATTGACTTGTGTGCTGGAGTTCCTGGCAGCCTGTAACCATGACAACAATAATGCTACAAACACAATCAAGATCTATTGACTTGTGTACTGGAGTTCCTGGCAGCCTGTAACCATGACAACAATAATGCTACGAACACATTCAAGATCTATTGACTTGTGTACTGGAGTACAAGATCTATTGCTTTGCATTTTGTGTTACAGCCTGTAGCCATGACAACAATGACACATAAACACATTCAGAATAATTTAAAGTTTTGTCTACAGATTAAAAGCTGAAAAACTGTCGAAACTGCATAAATGTGTAATTCACTACAAATTCCTGATGACTAGCACCATGGTTCTGCATGTTGAAGCCCATGGAATAAAGATTAGAGATTATACATGAGGCCTATAGTTGTTGTAGAGCACAAACTGGGATATACGTGTCGTCATAGCAACACATCATCAGAGATTACAGATGAGTAATATATAGAATAATCTACTCTCACCTCAGAATTACAGATAATCTGTCCCTCGTGAAATAGTATTCCCTTGCCATAGCTCAGAACGTAAAATGAATTCACTCAGGACAGCTAATCTGTAACTCCTTGCAGCCCTTAGGCCACACATTTTTTATTTTCGTTTCATTTTTCAAATAAAAGATTTATTTTTATTTAATCTCCCGATGTAATATAGTCCCCCTTATACAATATAAAATGTTATATATAAATTCCATGTCTACATCAATATCAGTGATTCAAGAAGCCAGCTGCAGTTTTAATTCCAAGGCAGAATGACTATTAATTATATAAATAAATAAATGATTGACATAGATATTTATTTATATTTCGACCGAGCTTGTGTGGAAAAACTGGAATAAATCTGTGAAACATAAAACCAAAAAAGTGTGGCCTTAGGTTTTTGTCAAATTCCACATCTCCAGTATAGTAGCATTGATGAAGGTATTGCAACCCAGGTGAGGTGAGGTGAGGTGAGGTGAGGTGAGGTGAGGTGAGGTGAGGTGAGGTGAGGGTGAGGGTGAAGGTGGGGTTTAACGTCGCGTCCAAGATTATTGCACTTATATAGCGACGTGCTTGCACGTGTATGTGTGTGTGGCTGCTTGTACTAGTTCGGACTGATGCCAGTTTATAGTGCTAGCACACTGAGATACCATGCCACAGTTTAACATGAATACCCCACTCAGACACAGTATACTGACTCCGAGCCGATCAGTCCTTGTTTAAGCACCTTAATGCCGAGCGCCAGACTGGGTAACAACAAGTACCATCTTTAAACGTCTTTAGGTATGACGCGGCTGGGGATCGAACCCCGGACCTTCCGCTCTCCGGGCGGACGCTCTGTCATTAGACCACGGAGGCGGTCCTAATGCAACCCAGACTGAATGAGTGAGTGAGTAGGTTTTCCATATGATGACCAGAACAAATGTGCCATGGTCAGCCAGCAATGAAACCTTATTTAATACAGACTGGTTCCAGTTGTATTTGCATTGCGTCACCTTCCAGACGTGGCAAGAAGTTTCTTGTTTCAATCCCATCTCATGAATCTATTTTTAGATAATAACCATATTAAGATTTCCCTTTTGTTAAAGTTACTGAAATGACAAATATCTTCCCACAGGAAAGATTATTCACGATATGCGCCATTTGGGGGGATTTTGTTTCCCCATTAAATAGAACTGAAATACATCATTACTGAAACTTCATTAGCCAGAGGGCAATTATGATATTGATAGAACTGAATTAGGCTATCGATTATAACTGAATTAATCATACTAATCATAACATTGAATGTAAATAGGTTTGCTTTTACAAGTGGTATCATGAATAATAAAACTTGTATTTTAAATCACTAAAAAATAAATGTGGAATTACTGCCGCTGTTACATGTGTCATCTTTGACATAATACGTGAAATACATTCCAAATACTTCCTGTTTATTAAATACCAAGGTTAACAATTATCAAAATCATAAATCATAAATTTGTACATGTTTTATGATTGTGGATTAATTATTTGGTTGACAAAATGCAAGCCTTTCATGTTGTTAATCTTGCTTAAAATGTTTCTCTGGCTGGAATAATTTCCTTAAGGTTCCTTGCAAACTGGTCATGAAGTTCTTTTGGAACGCTACCGACTAAGATATTTCTAATTCTGGTCTGGCTAGTACATATTGGGTATCGTTTTCCAATTGCAATTTTAGAACAAACAAATATATTGCTTATTAGGCCTACATACCGATATGATGAATAATCTGCAAACAGCTGGCTTATATGACATTAATTCTGATAATTAGCATGAAGGGTTTGAAATTCCTTGTGTTTCAGTGCCAATGGGATGGTTAAAGTTGCTATGATAGTAAGGCTGGGACGAGTCCAAATTTACTACCCAGGGACCCACCCCTCTATTACCCGACCCTACCCTACCTGCTGTAGGTCTCCATCTTCCCGAGGCAAGAGAGTTAACTGACTTTAAAAGTCCAGTTTCCACCCTTGCCGAACTAGGCTGGAATTACTGGGCTCGATCGTAGCGCCACCAGTGGCTATAACCAGTTATGTCCCTTCTAAGCCTCTCCTATGGACCAATCAGATTCCACCTCTCGTATCACTTGCGTTTGCTTCACACAAAATGGTGGCGCCAAGTCAGGACGATCTGATCGATAATCAAGATCTATATTGTGATAAAACGGGTCTTACATCGCAAAATGCATTAAATCACATGAGCACTTTGATTAAAAACATGAAAAGATTTGGAATAATATCTGTTGACAACAAGTTGACGGTGCACATGCTTTGCAAATACTGCAGTCGATCGAAATCTGCACGACAGTTTACGAACCGGATTTTGATTTTGGTGCGCGATTTTGATTGGACTATGCACAGACTCATTAGTCCAGCCAAAATGTAACTCCATAATACCAGCCTAGTTCGGCAAGGGGGGAAACTGGACTTTTATAGTCAGTTAACTCACTTGCCTCGGGAAGATGTAGGTCTCAAGAGATGGGTACAAGATGTCTGACTGGCAAGTCAGAAGGAATGCAAACATAAGTAGCTTGTAGTGTAACCATGGAGTTCTAGATAATTTTTGTCATTAAATAATATGTCACGTGACTAACCACTGGTCCGGGTATTCCTGTGGGTACCCGGGTCCTACTCAGGACCCATCCGCCCAGAGTACCCGAGTTAGCCGTCCCAGCCGTAAATGACACGGTTAAAATGAGATCCAGTGCTTGAAGGGCGGACTTAGAAATCACAGTTTCAGCAAAAATGTTTATTGCATGAAGCCTGTAATATATATACTTTTGCAAAATTATACTGGACACACTCAGTGAAAATGAACATATACTTAGAACATGCTTTTTGTGATAAACGGAGAGTATGATTCACAAAATAATCTGGGGAATCCGAAACGTAAATGGTATCTTCAGTGTCAGTAAGGGGTGGTGGGGTAGCCTAGTGGTTAAAGCGTTTGCTCGTCACGCCGAAGACCCGGGTTTGATTCCCAACATGGGTACAATGTGTGAAGCCCATTTCTGGTGTCCCCTGCTGTGATATTGCTGGAATATTGCTAAAAGCGGCGTAAAACCATATTCACTCACTCACTCAGTGTCAGTGACAGGGATTTGGCTTACTACTGTTAGCTCAATGAATGGGCATTCACTGAGTTTGAAGATGGAGGAAAAGTATTGTTCTTGTTGACACATGTAAATTCAAAAGAGCAGTTCTAAACATCCTCATATGTGCCCTTTGGCACACCTAAAATGAAAAAAAATCATTTTGTTCCTGAATTTCGTAAAATCATTTATAAGTTTAAATATTAAAGACATAAAGTTTAATTGTCTGATCATAACTAGGCAAAAATATACTCAAAATAGGTAAACTAATATGTTAATACAAGCAGGTTAGAGGTTCACCAGATACATCACAACAAATGTACCGTATATGACCGTAGATAAGCCGATCTCATAGATAAGCCAAGGATAATCCTCAACAGTGATTTGTCAAATTGTTCCATGCAGAAAAAAGTATCCGACAATACACAAAAGTGTGACCAGATAACCCTGGTTTTGGTTATCATTATTTTTAAGATTATACAGTAAAACTTGCAATTAAAATAAAACGATATCAGAATATATTATTCATAGTAAAATAGTAATTTAAGATACTATTTTTTCTGATCATTGCATCAACATCATTTTCTGTTATATTATTGGGTGTGTTTAACGTAATCACCGGTAGATTGGGAGAACACGTGTGTACAGCTGATTGCTATTTATGGCTTACTTTATGAGACAATATACACGGTAATATTGATCCCTGCATATAAAACAATACCTAGCATAACAAGAAATACAATCGAAATAGTAAATCATCATATCTAGTGATGTTTAAATGCAAATTTCTCATTTTTGCAAGGTTTGTTATAGTTTGTTCATTTACCTGAAGTGATACGATGTAATTTTTTTTACCAACAGAAAAAAAAGTTTCAAGAAAGTGTAACCCATACATAAGCCGACCCCTTCTACAGAATCTTTTTTCTGGGCCTCAAAATTCAGCTAATCTACGGTCATATAAGGAAGTTGAATGCACTTCAAACTGCATGAAAAACCCTTTACAAATTACATAAAATCTGCGACACCTGGTTAAAAAAAAAAATCCTTGTGTGCAACAGGTAGACTTGCACAATTATTAGTTTAAATCATAATTTCTAAATTATATAAATAATAAGAACAAGTGGTCCCTATAAGAGACTGGTGTAATGTCCACTTATCTAGACTTGCCTATTATAGTGATAGAATTACTGAGAAGTTTTGATTGATACGTGTTATAAGATATGAAGGTTTTAAAATTGGTAGATTAAATTAGCAACTGAGATTGTTAGTGGCAGTATCCTTGAAGGGGGTTAAGGTACTGTAAAATTATTGTCCCCCTGAGAGGGTACGTAAGTTCCACATCATTCAAGGCAAATTTAGTACTACCACGATTTTAATCGTAGTATATCTGTTAGTTTTAATTGATGGCTCAACTTGCATACAATCACCAGCGGCTGAAGGGATGGTGTAAATCCTGCTAGGGCTCATGCAGGTAGCAAAAGTACTGTAAGTCCCCATGGTCCCTAGTGTGGTGATCTACCTTCAGTGGTTGCGATCAATAGCCCATTTTTATCATGTATTGTGTATTGTTACATCTTTTTATTGTTCCATGCTAGTTTTATATTCACATCTGTGACATCCTAGTTTGTTTTACTGTTCTTCGTTGACAGGTTTATATATGGTAACAATGCAGTTTACCGGGCGCAGCCCGAGCTCTACCATCCGCTCAATTACCGCGCTATAGTGCCACCGCTGTCTCGTTATACCGTTACCGTGCCTCACGCTCTGGTGACTCTCGCTTCACGATCCAACACCCGTTTTCGGTCATAGGGAAACTTACACATCTTTACAATCAAACACCCGTTCTCGGTCTTAGGGAAACTTACACATCTTTAATTACGATCAAACACCCGTTCTAGGTCTTAGGGAAACTTACACAACTTTACGATCCAACACCCGTTTTTCGGTCTTAGGAAAACTTACACGTCTTTATGATCCAACACCCGTTTTCGGTCTTAGGGAAACTTACACGTCTTTTCGATCCAAAACCCCTTTTCGGTCATTAGGGTCAGCTGGCTTTGGGCAAGGGTTAGCCATAAATTCTTACCTTTCAAGCGTTAATCCAGTTAATCCCATTGGTCGGTCATGTTGACATAAACAATTGCGGGTGTGGTTTCAAGAAAAGATGAATGGGAGAGCGGGCAGTGACGTCACACGCATGCGCAATTCATTGTTTACTGAATTAAGCATGCATGTCAATGGGGATTCTAATGACCTGTTAAACGAGCACTGATTACATGTGATAGTGCCTGTGGTCCAGTGGTAGAGCGTAGGCTAATTAACGCATTAATTAGCAGAGCCGGTGAGCCGGCGAAGCGCGTTCGAGCCCCCACAGCGCTAATTGGATCTGAAAAAGTGCGCCCGGTAAAGTGCACTACTCCCTTATATACTGTCAAAATGTCTTTATTTATATATATAAATTGATCTCGTCACTATATGGCTGAAATATTGCCGATGTGACGATAAATCTTAACTCACTCACTCACTATACATATCCATTCAGTACAGCCTTGGAGCAAGGCTACGCCACAGGGTACCCATCAAGTTAAGTGTGCCCACAAGAAGAATGCTTTTGATCTTGACTGGTGCAAGTCATTATATCCCCATTGACTAGATCAATACTCAATGTGTCAGAATCGGGTGGTCGGGCTCGCTGACTTGGTTGATATATGTCATCATATCCCAATTGCGTGGATCGATGCCCATGATGTCAATCACTGGATTGTCTGGTCCAGACTTGATTATTTACAGACTACCGTCATACAGCTGGAATATTGCTGAGTGCGGCGATAAACAACAAACAAACATTTTGGAACCCATTGAATATCATTTCACCATAAGTCAGAAAATAAGCAGTTGTTGCCGGGGGACCGGTCATTTATGACCCGGGTGGAAGGGTCAAAGGGAATCAGAAGAGGGTCACCAAACTATGTCAAGTCTTTAGGGGAGGGTCATACAAAATAATACACATATTTGAGGAAGATCATGAAAAAAAATAGACAAGGACATTGAGAGGGTCATCCAAAAATATGAGCGAGTGAGTGAGTTGGCTTGAATCACTGGCTTCATATCATAAATAATTTTATTAAAAAAATATTATTCCAAATATGCCCTTCAGGCTCTTGGAACTTATAAACCATGCCATTATGATTCTAACCTGTGTCAGTTGCACTCTAATATTAAACCCTGACCACAGGAAGTCAGCTGTCAACATACGGTGAGGGTGTATGGGTTTATGGGTGAGGGAAGGAGTATGCAGGCACAGGTAGCACAATGTTCTGGGGCAGACCCAGGGCGAGGCCAAATAGCAAACTGATAACCTAGTTTAAAGTCCTGTCCCTGGGAGTTCTGTTTATGTCTCTGTTTCAAACTTACAGTTTTAATCAATTAAAAGAGAAGCTAAACAATTGTTTTCACCACAATACATTACTTTTCAAAACTTTCAGCATGATTTATTTTGGGGGTAAACCTGAGGACAATTATTTTTTATGAGGTTTACTTTGTCATATCATGACCTGGATTGGATTCCTGACATGGGTAGATTTGTGAAGCCCATTTTGGCTGGATGATTGTAATAAACCCATTCACATAAGTTTAAAAAATACATAGACTTGATGATAAAATATTACACATTAACACATAGTGTTCATTGTGATACATAATTTACATAAATAGTTTTACATAGTATTATATAGAGAATCTCACCCGAGTGTCTTTTGATATCAAATATATCAACACGAGTTGATAAAAATGGAAAAATTCCAAGGCTTGCCGAGGATTTTTGCCACTTTTATCATCTCGTGTTGATATATTTGATATCAAAAGACACAAGGGTGAGATTTTATTTATCATCCAACATCATTCTTCCAGCTTTTTCAATTTGTTGACAGTAATTAGCAGTGTCTTCAGTGTAAAAAAAGTACTGCTAACAGCTTCAGTAGCAGAGCAATTAGTGATGTCATTTGATTGTGACGTCATGGTAACCAGTGACGTCACAACTGTCTGCAAAGCATTGTGATGTAATTTCATTGCAGCGATATCTACAGTGTAGATATCGCTTGATCTCATCCAAGCCATATCTCCTGTGGGAGCCAGTTTTGGATGATAAATAAATGTAACTAACAAATTAAACACATATTTTATCACATAGGAATGAAAACCCTACATTGTTATCGCCTGGATATTTAGGAAATGTTATGCAAATATGACACTGATATGTCAGAATATTTGGAGAAAAGGAATTTTTGTTTTGTTTGAGAGACAGATGGTTAAAACCCCTGACAATTATAAAAAAAGAGACATCATATTTCACATTGACAATATCAACATGATCTAGGTGAGGTAATTAAATAAATGCAAAACCTTGTGAAAATAATCACATGAATGATTTATCCAGAGATTCTAGATTATTACTGAAATTTAAAATAATGACTTTCAGTTGGGGTTGATGTAATTTTAAAAAATTTCTGCATTGAAAGATGAGCTCCGAAAGAGCTTATTTATTGAACATGTTGAATGATATTAAACCCCAGCATATATTAAAAAAAACTATTTTGAGTGCACTTTCATTTAGCGACCTTTATAATTTTGAAACAGTAATAATTTTTTTTCATCTTTTGAAACACAATATATTTTAACATGAAACATGCAACAGAGCTAAAGTCTAGTTACGAATTAAAAGCTGTCATTTATCACAGGGCCACGGATAGCCATACTATACTTACTGATTACATTAAAATCAGTATAGAGTGGCCCTGTGTCATTTATTGTCAAAGATGCACTTACCAGCATAGGCTTGAAGACATTTCTACAAAACAATCTGCCTGACCATGTCATATTGTGCCACGTTCTGTTGACTTTATAAGTTCGGGTGAGTACATATCGAAATCATTATCTTTAACCTATTTACGAGTACTGACGGAAATTACCGAGCGGCAAGTGCTTGCCAACTCAATAATTCGTTTTTTTTTGTAACACCCCTTACCATTGGTAGATTTTGCCAACGTCTGTGTTTGTCCAATCAATGACACCGTTAGAATGAAGAATGGAATTTGCAATGGCGTTGATGTAAACAGTTACTACGGAGAGCAGTCGATAAACCAGTTTGCTCAGGACACAACCGTAAAAAGAAGCCTGTCCTTGTCATGTGAAAGTAAAACATTTTCCTCATTGTTTAACGACCCTTTATACCTACAACTGATCAAAGGTTCATATGCATTGATTGAATTACCGTGCAGAAATATTACAAATTAATCGTGTATTGCAGTCCCCCGGTTTTCGTGGACACCAACACAAATGTCATCAAAAGACAAAACCACCAAAAAGTGTTATTGTTCGGATGTGTGTGAAGAGAAACTGTTTCTCAAGCCATTCTAAGATTTAAAATAAGAAACACTTCGTTTGGAAGAGACAAATGACGGATTAGCACGTACACACGAATACACAATAGCAGGTCGCATCTTGAATTTCCGAGTGTCACTGTCATTACTAGCAGAGACCATATAATAGATCTAATAATCTATTATATGGCCTCTGGTACTAGGTTGTTTTAGAGCTGCCAGTTATGAAATATATCTTGATTATTATAACTAATGACTATAGTGACTGATCATATGTATCATTTGTTTACACGAGATAATGGTCACCAAATGCCGAGAGTAACGACCTGAGGATACTCAAAAATATTTTAAGATTTCAGAGACTTCCACACAGGTCCTACAATTTAACTTCAGCCTTACATATGGGGAACAACTTACTGGACATTTCTCTCTAAAAAAATTACGTCCAATTTACAAGTTGCGAGCACATCTACGAATCTCCAGAAATGACATGATAGAACAATGTTTTATCGTGAAATAAACCATGCTTTGTTCTTCAGTGTTTTTTAGTGATTTATCGCCTAGCTATCTTATATAACGCAATATGATGTGAATCATAAAAATTGCATGTATCCATAAAAAAATACTCCAGATTCTAAGTAAGTATTTTCCATATTCAATAATGGACATGATCAGGTTGTGTTATTGGTATCATTCAACCTGTCAGTTTTATTATATTTATTGTCATAGGTCATCCTCAAGCATTTAAGCAATAAAATTATTATGGCAAACAGGTACATATATAATTATGAACACATAAACAGTTAAGAAATTAATCTTTTCAGCATGATAAGTAAAAATGATATATATATTATGAATTATGTACTTTAGATAGATTTTCTGCCAATGTTAATAATATAGAATACTAAACGAGCTCCCGTATAATACCAATTTTATGAAACGAGTGAATAGTTGTGGTATCTTACGAGCGAAAGCGAGTTTCATAAAATTGGTTTTACACGGGAGCAAGTTTAGTATTTTATTTTTACTTGCATTTGTAACCTTTTTAGAATTACACTGTCATGTGTGAATAGGCTGACACCTACACGATCCAAAGCATAATATCCAATTGAATTTTACAGAATAATACTTCAAAAACGTCAAACGTTGAAACAAATTAATTTACTACCATACAACGGTCCACCTTTAGAATTCAGGTGTCCGTTCCACAAAGTTATCGTAGTACTAAGGTTATCGCAACTCACATACTTTCATTTAGACTTATGACTGTCGTTGCGCTACAGTACGATCTTCTTGTGGAATGGGGCTCTGAACTACAAAGTTTACAATCACGTCACAAAACCCGATGACGTAATTTGTGAATTTTGTTGCAAGATTCATCGGCGAAACAATGCCATGTGACGTCAGCCTAGCAACAAGGTTGCTGGGGTCATCGAGTGTGCATAAGCTCCTCTCAGTGATTTATCATCTCCACACGCAATGTTGTTGAATAAGCCAAGGGATGTTGAGAGCTTTCACAATTTGTTTGTGAAACTTGTTCTGACAGTATATAAGCACGCGTTTTGGTATTACACAATGTGCAATATAGCTGTATGTTTATTAAACGGGTGATCTCTTCATGGACAAGTAATAAAGCTAGTTATCTTCATCATCTTACATCATGCAACAGAATGATTCAAAACAAGTTAACACATATCAGCAATAATCATAAAATGGTTATAATCAAAATGGCATTAACTACTCCAGGTGCATGCTGCCGCTGTGACACCAGATGGCGCTCAGTGGGGGGCTGGAAGGGCAGGACCTGATTCGCAACCTGCGTCAGCTCATCTACAGCTTTGAGCCGTACATCCGCGAGGCTGTCTCCACGGACCAGATAGAGGAGAACTTGATACACTTGGAGGAGAGCGAGGAGAACTTCCACAAGTAGGATATAGAGAAACTCTTACCTTGTACCTCTCAATATCAAATAATATCAGAATGAGTTGAAAAAAAGTTAAAAATATATAGGCTTGCCGATAGTAATGTAGCGATACATTACATAATAACACCCATAAAGACTCAGCATTTATCACGAAACCATGGTAACCATGTTGCACTTTGTAAAAGGAGATGTATTCCATCATCAAAGAAAAATGAATGGCGCCAAACAAAAATATCTAATGTAAATTCACATTTAATTGGATGGGAGATTGTTTTCTAATGTGAATATTGTGAAGACGTCCAATCATACTGTACTCAGTCATGCAAATCTCAACAATATTCTGACAATCATGAAAGAGTTCAACCCTTAAGCAGCCATGAAAGAATGGGCCACCAGTTCCAAGGGTACATGTAATTTCTTCAATGTTTTCACTTTTTAAATGAACCGTTTCGGGCAGCTAGCAAATTAAAAAAGGGCAAGTGGTTTTGTTTTATTCACTTGTCTGAGGCCAGTGGATTTTCAGAAAGTATTTGAACCCCTGATGAGTTCTTTAATTATGATTACAGATATGAAATCATAAAGTTGCTGAAACGGAAAATTGACGAGCTTCTGGGACCTTTGATTGATGATGAAATTGAGCGGTTCTCTACAGTTGGACATATTGGGGCCAACGGACAGGAGACGGTGGTCAGTCGAATCACTGACCGCATCCTGCAGTCACAACAGTGAGTTGCCGTCGTGGATTACTGTGTCTTTTTCTTAGACTTGTCATCATCAATACTTCACAGGCTTGGTAGACACTATGAACATCTCCATCACCCATGAATACACATGGTGATTTAAGGTGTAGTAGTAACATGTGTCTATTTTTATTATTTGAGTCAACTAACGACTGGACCATTAAAAAATCATGGATGTCAAATATTTTGTGCATGAACTTTGTGAGAACCCTACCATTGCCTTTTATTTTTTTATTATCATTCTTATGATGATGATGATGATGATGATGATGGTAGACACTATGAACATCTCCATCACCCATGAATACACATGGTGATTTAAGGTGTAGTAGTAACATGTGTCTATTTTTATTATTTCAGTCAACTAACGACTAGACCATTAAAAAATCATGGATGTCAAATATTTTGTGCCTGAACTTTGTGAGAACCCTACCATTGCCTTTTATTTTTTTATTATCATTCTTATGATGATGATGATGATGATGATGATGATGATTGTGAGAACCCTACCATTGCCTTTTATTTTTTTATTATCATTCTTATGATGATGATGATGATGATGATGATGATGAAGATGATTGTGAGAACCCTACCATTGCCTTTTATTTTTTTATTATCATTCTTATGATGATGATGATGATGATGATTGTGAGAACCCTACCATTGCCTTTTATTTTTTTATTATCATTCTTATGATGATGATGATGATGATGACAATGTGTTTCTCCTTGTGTTCACAGATACCATGACTTCAACAAGAAACTGAAGCGTAATATGACTGGTGCTATTGACCAGCTGCAGCAGAACTTTGAACAGGAGTTCTCGGGTGGTCGTCATGGAGATGCTGGGTTTCAGACCCGCCGGGACAATGTTGTTACAGATGATGAGGAGGCAAGCAAACTGATGTTCCTTAACTTTTCTTCGTATGTTCAATTACAAATGCATGTGGACTGCTAAGTTGAAATAGGTTTCTGTGAATAATGATACTTCTAGAAGCATTGGTTTATGGAACCACGGACCCTAAGAGAACAGTGAGATAAACACAAATAAGTGAGTGAGTGAGTTGAGTTTAACGCCGCTTTTACCGGTATTCCAGTTATATCGCTGCGTTTCAGTTTAATGATGGAGGAAAGCCCGAAGTGATGCAGGTCTTAGACGTTTACCACTTCAGTGAAACCCACGAGCACGGGTATGGTGCTGACAAACCTAGAAACATAATCGGGGCTAACCAGGTTTCGAACCCACAATCATAGGTTTCTGGCATGCCCAAGGGACGCAACTCTGCACAGCGAATCGCGGCGCCTTAGACGACTGGGCCACCCTTGCCCCCTGAACACAAATGAAGTCTGAAGAGCAGTTGTATTTTGTTCTGCCAAAAGCATACTTACATGTTCATTACAAGAATAGTGTACGTACATTATGTTAACTGCAAATCAAGTCCGGGAAAACGGCACATATGACAACATATTCTGATAACTTGTAAAAAACAAAAATATGTCATTTTTAGTGTATTTTATTTCTTCTCAATATTTTTGGTTACAATAAAACTCAGTAATAAAAAACAAAAACAAGTCAGAACATAATCATTTTGAGCAATGTAAGGAGTGAATGAGGTAGGGTTGACGTCCCTTTGAACAGTATTGCAGTTATATCATGGCATGTCAGCTTAATGTGGCTGGAAAGCCCAAAGTGATGCAGGTGTCAGATGTTTACCTCTTGGCTGAAACCTACATGCATAGGTATGGTGCTCACATACCTAGAAATTAGATTGGGCTGAACCGGGATTCAAACCCACAATCATAGGTTTCTGGCATGTCTAAGGGATGCCACTCTGCACAGCGAATTGAGGTGCCTTAGACGACTGGGCTGTCTGGGCACCAGCAATACAGTGTGTAAAGAAATGATCAACATCTGCTTAAACAATTATTGAAAAACATGCATTTTTTTTTTGAACAATAACATAAAATATTGCGCATATTTTTGAACAACAGAAATTAATTCATTGTGTTTATCATGCAGGAAATATAGCAAGTCCTTTAATCAAGTTTTATGGATTGTTTATGCTTTGTGCCAAGTGATTGAGAATCAGATGTCAGGTTTCTAGCTAATTTTGTGGAAACTGAGTTGAAACTTTGCTTTTTTAATGCATGGTTTGTTTTCAGGGAAGTGTGATGATGTTTGACCATGATTACATGAAGCATGTGGCAGACAGTCTCGGCAAGAGCAAACCCACACAAGTAAGTCGCAGTCTTTTGGGTGAGTTTGTTGTTTTCAGACACAATATTCCAGCTGTATGATTGGGGTCCGTAAATACTCAAGTTTGGAACAGAAAATTCTAGATAAATTTGGTCCAGTACCAGATTGCACATGTTACATGAATTACTCTGAGAATTTGGTGAGGACAGATTCAACTGTACACTAATAGTGCCAAAACAGAAATTTCAATCCTGCTTATTGGGTAGAGGGGACAGAATGTATTATCTGTATTGCTGTGAGCATGCATCTGTGGGTGGATGCACCATAATCATTACAAATCATCATCATCATCATCATCATCATCATCACTCGTCGCTATATGGCTGAGATAATGCTGATGCGACGGTTAAATTTTAACTCACTCACATCATCATCATCATCATCATCATCATCATCATCACTATTATACATGAGCATGATGGTGTGTTGCAGACACGGCGGGATGCTCTTCAGAAGCTGAACCAGATCATGTCTGCCGACTCCGTCAACTCTGACCACTGGCTTCAGTTGAAGCGTAACCTACAGCAAGTCATGTCCGACCCTGATGAACAACTCTCGGTATGTATATACTGCACACGTTAGGGATGGCTTGTTTAGAATGCTGTGATATTGCCATTTTTTTTTACGGACAGGTTTTGAGAATGAAGATGTTGTTTGAAATATTCCAGTTACCGGTATATCTCTCCAGCCTGAAAATGGCGGAGTTTGGACAAGGTCAACCAGTGACTGGAAACATGAGCCACTTGTAGTAGCCATAGGTCAGGGAAATTAATCTGAACAGAGACAGTGTTCCCAGACATGTGAGAAACATTCATGATATGTGTGTTGACCTGTTTTTGCACATTGTTGTCTTGTTGTAGGCCCTGAGTGTGAAGTTCATAGCCAAAGCTTTCACAAGCACCACACATCAGACCAGAGAGATCTACATCTTGCTGAGTAAGTAGCATTTAGTAACCATGGTAACACACCAGTGCAGAGCTGTCAAGTTTGGAATGGGTGAGATCTAACATAGCTGGGGTCCAAGAGCCGACCTCCTCGAGTTTTCAGTGTGTTTAGTCTCCTTTCCATTCTGATAAAAACCAACCTGTGAAGATCCGGGGTAGAATAGGTCTTCAGCAACCTATGCTTGGCGTAAAAGGCAACTATGCTTGTTGTAAGACTCGACTAATGAGATCGGGGAGTCAGGCTCTCTGACTTGGTTGATGCATGTCATCGTATCCCATTTGTCTAGATCAATACTCATGATGTCATATGGCTGGAATATTGCTGAGTGTGGAGATAAACAACAAACAAATCTGATAAATACCCTGGACTCATTTTCACCATCATAGCTTTGTTTTGAGTTCTGTTCAAATGACACAACACTCGTTCATCATTAAAACAAATGATATCATTGAAGTACTGTTAGAAATACAAACAGACTGATATTCTGTCTCTAAATCATAGAGTTGATAGTCTTGAACATCAGTCTAGAAAAAAACTAATGGTATTAGGCGATATTTGCTAATATATTGGCTTGTGAACAATCCCAATTAGCACCCTTTCCGATTGATCTATGTTCACAAGACTTATTTATTTGTGTATAATACGTGTGTTATATGCATCCTTAATAATGGGAAATATAATTCTTGAAAAATATATCTGTCGTATATAAACATTTCAGGCTGTCAGCATAAACCACGAAATTTAGGATCTTTCAACTCCGTTTTTTTCTCACCAAAATAATATTCTTATAAGAGCCCCCTGTTTCTAATTTTGAGAGCGCCCAGGGAGCTTATTATGTCGAATACGGTATAAATGTTGATACTGCCTGTTGTTTGAACAGGAGAAACAGCAATAAGACAAAAAGGACAATCTGCAGGAATGAACTGGCTGAGACAAAATATGTAAATTAGATGATTGAAACAAGAAACCAAAAATTAAAGACATTGATTTGAATTTTTGTTGAACGTATGAGGCATAAATCCAGTTGCAAACATACTTTTATGGTAATAGTAATGCCTTATGTAAATTCATGTAACACATGGGGGCATGGGTGGCCCAGTCGTCTAAAGCGCCGCGATTTGCTGTGCAGAGTTGCGACCCTTGGACACGCCAAAATCTATGATTGTGGGTTCGAATCCTGGTTTGCTTCAATGGGCGATCTTTTTGTTCCAAAGGGCAATAACTCTCCTTTTGAAATGATATAAGCGACGGTCCAAACTGTCGCTTCCGGTCTGGTTCCCGGATCAATGCGCGCTGCGACAACTACTGACATGTAGAGACGGAGCCAAGCTAAAGAGTTATCCTGTTGCCCCTGCGTTCAAAAACGGTCGTTTACAACTGAATATTTTTAACTAGCACATATTTTGTAGTGATTATTAGTTTATAATATGAACATTTGTTGAGTCTTCAACTACAAGACGAATTGTAACTTTGGAATATAGCGGGAAAAACGTCATGACAAATGGTATATTGCCACGGTATTTTCTACGTCAGAAAACAGCGAGGCATTAGTCAGTCTGGGCTAACATATTACATCGATGAAATAATGCAAACTCATTTTATTTATCAGCCTTTGTGTTATTTCCCACAACAATTCAAACATTCAAATCTCAACAAATACTACCATGGACTTCAATGTAATAAAATTAGTGATACGCCAACATTTGCAGCACACAGACATCTTTGACAGGCCTTTACCAATGATCTAAATAGTAAGTATACATCCGTGCCTTTACAAATATTTTAAGAAGAAATAACGTTCACAATAATAAAACAACTGATTTTATATGTATCTTTTTATATCAAAACCAAAGTTGCATCTGAATAAATTTACATTATTTCTTTAGAAATAGGCCAAATGAACATCTACCATGCATCTATTGAGCACTCAGTTACTCATTTGCAATATACATACCAGTCATCATTCTTTGAAATAAGAGATTTACCCATATTATTCTGCCCCTTATAACATGTGTCCCACCATTAAGTGCTCTGAGTCATCACAGGTGTTAATTCATTGATCCATCATTTCTTACAGAATTCTGATACTCATGCTCTTAAAATAGTAGTTAATTACAGAGATGTGTCCCAACAAACAACAAATCATACTGACTACCCCACAAAATGTGTATGATGCATAAATAGATCTAAATCATAGTTTTATCTTCTTGGTTTAGTAACATTATATTTATTTTAATGTTGACAAATTATTTCCCATACAAACCCACACACTATCCTGCTGTATCTAAGTATCCTGATTTTCATTCAACAGTACTTCAAGACACCTGTAGTATAAAGTATATTTATATGAAAATATGAATATGAAAGTTTATCATCAAATCTTCTGATGGTTAAATAAATGCAAATTGAACCCCACAGTCATTCAATGTAGATAAATGGATTTATTTATGTTATTTGTTTTTGCATATAACAGATTATACTTACATATGTTACAGTCAGTGTCTATAATCAGGCCCAATATGTATATTGACTGAAAATTTCAGTCAATATGCATATTTACTGATTCACTCAGGTAAGGCATATTTTTTCTTAAACTTTCATTCATTTATTATTGCCTGAAAAATAGGACTGGATTTTAGACAGACTGGCTGAAATGAATAAGACTGCATTATTTAATCCTCCTCAATTTAATTTGGATCTATTTGGATCTTATCAAGATCAAAGTAACTTATGCAAGAAATTAAAAATGTTTTCACAATGAATTGATTGATTCTCCAAACCTGAAAGAATACCAGAGTCCCTTTTTAATGTTACATATTTATATATTCAGTTCAGAAACAGATGACAGCTAAAAGGTCATGCATGTGTAATCAAATACTAGTACACAAGCACAAATGTGCCATGATATTAAATAAAATAATAAGAGTCATAGTGCAATGCAGATATCTTTTGGTGTGAAGAGAAAAAAACCAAAACATTAATAATTTGTTTATGTTGGAATTTGAAACATCAGTTTAGAACAAGGAAACATAAAAAGCTTTAGAACAAGGAAACATAAAAAGCAAGGCCTAATGAAGTTACGAATCAGCTTTATCTGTGTCACAATCATATGATTATTGTCAATGCAAACTGGATGTAGACACTGCATTGTTAATACAATCAACATTATAGAGATTGGCAATAAGTATGAATATATTGTTTTATTTTATAAAAATTGTAGTTGGTACAAATACTCTTGAATATGTATTTTAACTAATATATAGGGTCCTCTGTGTCTGATTTTTTTTTCTACTTTGTAAAATTAAAAAAAGGCCAAAATAATATATATATTTCATTGATCATATTGAAATATAATCATGGTAGTATTTGGCAACAAACAGCTACCATTCATATACATAAAATCCTTGTATACAACATGCACCAATTAACCCATAATATCAAAACAGATTTCAGTGATTTCCATTTCTTTCATTTTGAACATTGTATCATGAAATCTAGTTGATGACGTAATTTTACAGTGCCTGTTACTCTTACAATATCTTGAGAACATTTCTCATTGCTCTCTGTTATATATCTGACAAATACTTACACTCGTACATGTGTTGCTGTCAATATTCACAACATTGAGGCTATGGGCAACGTCGCACGAGACCTTCATATTTCGCGTACCGCATCGCCTCACCGCTGTACATACTGAAATGCATGCATATGATGTAGCCTGCTCGGCGATGCTACAACATAGATATAGGAACGTATACTAAATCTACTTAATTTTCATATTCATACATCAAGGCCAGCACTTTCAGTACCGATTGCAAAACGTCAACAAAGCGACCTGGGATGAACGATCAGCTGATCTCACTGCATCGCTTTGAACGCATATCTAGTGGATAACTATACAATACAATCAGTCGTGGTCATCCCTGATGTATCATTAAATCAAGGAACATTTATTTCAGGACATGGCAATAGATAAATCATTGTTTAGGCGAAAAGATATGCTGTCCACACATAAGCGTGACTGTTGCCGACAGAGGTGAAGGTTATACTAGTTAACTGTCTATAGGCGTCATAGTAACATGTAGTGCTCGTATCACGCATACCACATGCGCCGTCAGTTTAAGGTTGGACCGTCCGGGTCAGCGCACCTAGCGGGTTAGTGAAGGGAAGATAAATTGAAAAAGATCGCCCATTATGTTTCTAGGTTTGTCAGCACCATACCCATGCTTGTGGGTTTCACCCAAGTAGTAAACGTCTGAGACCTGCATCACTTTGAGCTTTCCTCCCACATCAAGCTGACACGCCGTGATATAACTGGAATACTGTTAAAAGCGGCGTTAAACCCAACTCAGTCACTCACTCATGTAACACATAACTTGCACCAGGTGCATGTTAATTTGACATCAAAGCCAAGTTACACTAGACAAAATCAGGTGGCACTCTGGTCCCTAGACTAACATCAAGTCTCTGAAATGAACTACTTTACAGAAAAAAAAGTTGTTAAATTATAGTTATAAAATATAATAAAAAGGAGCCCAGAGACTCTCTTCATTTCCTGATACTGCAGAAATCTAGACTTGCCAAACATTATAGACTTGCATGGGCTGTATTGGATATATTTGTTTCAGGGTCTGTATGGCAGACTGCCTGGTCCCATAAATTTATATATCTGATCATGCTGATGACTGTCATGATTTTCAATACAGTTCGTACTTACTGACAAGTTACACATAACACAAGGACTAGTGACGTAGTATGGTACATTAAGCCTACTGGCATTTAGTTGTGTTCAAAGATCAATATTTTGGTGACAAGTAAGGGTCAGTCAGACACAAATTTGAAATATTTTGACATGCACTTTGTGTAGACATTAATATAAGGTTGTATTTTTCAGTAATAGGTTGCATTTGTGTCATGTTTTAAGTAGCTTAAAGGAGCTCTGATATCTGTCAAGAGTTTCAGAATGACCTGTACACGATGCACATCGCCTG